ACTGAGATTCATGGCACTTTTTTTGTCCTGGAATCTACTGTCCTGGTTCCCTATTCAGTCCCCTTTTTAAACAGATGAATGGGCAACTTCCCATGGCTCCAATCGTCAGCCAAAAGGGCACCCGGACCAGTGTATTTTGTACAGAGAACCGCTGGGCCGGGGCCGCGCGGGGCAAAGCAGCCATGCCGGCCGACACAGCCATGCTGGCCAAAACAGCCTCACTGGCGACCCATGGGGCTCCTCCGCCTGGGAATTTCCTAGTCTGTGGGCAATAAAAAGGTGGCGTCCACTCACCCTCTGCACTTTCACTGGGAGCTGCAATCCTGAGCTGTTCCTAAATGGCCATCTTGGATCACCTTTTTCATTTTTAATTTTTTAATCATTTTAAATGAGTGGGTTTTTTTTAACTTTTATTTTAGATTCTAGGGTATATGTGGAGGTTTGTTATATACATAACTTGGGTCACAGGGGTTTGTTGTACAGATTATTTGGTTACCCAAGTATTAAGTCTAGTATTCATTAGTTATTTTTCCTAATATTCTTCCAACTTTCATCTTCGATCCTACAATAGGCCCTAGTGTCTGTCGTTTCCCTCTTTATGTCCATATATTCTCATCATTTAGCTTCCACTTGGAAGTGAGAATATGTGGTATTTGGTTTTCTGTTCCTTTGTTAGTTTGCTAAGGATAATGGCCTCCAGTTCCATCCATGTTCCTGCAAAGGTCATGATCTTGCTTTTTATGGCTGCATAGTATTCCATGGTGTACATGTACCACATTTTCTTCATCCAATCTGTCACTGATGGGCACTTATATTGACTCTATGTCTTTGCCATTATTGTGAATAGTGCTGCAGTGAACATATGCATTCATGTGTCTTTATAATAGAATGATTTATATTCCTTTGGGCATATACTCAGTAATGGGATTGCTGGATCAAATGATATTTTTGCTTTTAGGTCTTTGAGGAATCACCCATCGTCTTCCACAATGGTTGAAATAATTTACATTCCCACTAAAAATGTATAAGTGTTCCTTTTTCTCTGCAACCTCACTAGCATCTGTCAGTTTTTGACTTTTTAATAATAGACATTCTAATTGCTGTGAGATTGTATCTCATTGTGGTTTTGATTTGCATTTATCTAATGATCAGTGATGTAGAGCTTTTTGTCATATGATTTTTGGCCACATAAATGTCTTCTTTTGAAAGTATCTGTTTATTTCCTTTGCCCACTTTTTAATGGGGTTGTTTGAATTTTTTGTTATAAATTTGTTTATGTTTCTTAAAGATGCTCAATAGTAGACCTTTGTAAGAAGCACGGTTTGCAAAAATTTTCCCGTTCGTCAAATTTTGCTTCTGTTGCAGTAGTTTTGGCATTTTTGTCATGAAATCTTTCCTGTTCCTATATCTAGAATAGTATCTCCTAGGTTGTCTTTCAGGGTTTTTATAGTTTGGGGTTTTACATTTAAGTATTTGATCCATTTTGAGTAATTTTTTTATATGTTGTAAAGAAGGGGTCCAGTTTCGGTCTTCTGCATATGGCTAGCCAGTTATCTCAGCGCCATTTGTTGAATAGGGATCCCTTTCTCCATTGCTTGTTTTTGTCAGATTTGTCAAAGATCAGTTGGTTGTAAGTGTGAGGAATTATTTCTGGGCTCTCTATTCTGTTCCTTTGGTCTGTGTGTCTGTTTTTGTGCCAGTATCATGCTGTTTTGGTTACTGTAGGCTTGCGGTATAGTTTTAAGTACAGTCACATGATGTCTCCTACTTTGTACTTTTGTCTGAGTATTGCCTTGACTATTCAAGCCATTTTCTGTTCCCATATAAATTTCAAAATAGTTTTTTTTTTCTATGAAGAATGTCATTGGTAGTTTGGTAGAAATAGCACTGAATCTGTATATTGCTTTGGTCAATACGGTCATTAAACAGTATTGATTCTTCCTATCCATGAGCGTGGAATGTTTCTCTATTTGTTTATGTCATCTCTGATTTCTTTAAGCAAGTTGTGCAACTCTCATTTTAGAGATCTTTTTGCCTCCCTAGTTAGCCACATTCCTAAGTATTTTATTCTTTTTGTGGCAGATGTGAATGGGATTGCTTTACTGATTTGGCTCTGGGTTTGGCCATTGTTTGTGTACAAGAATGCTGTAATTTTTGTATGTTGGCCCTTAACCCGAAACACTGCTAAAGTGGTTTATCAGTTTACAGAGGTTTTTGGCCAATAATATGTAATTTTGTAGATATAGAATCGTGTCACCTGCAAACAGGGATAGCCTGACTTCCTCGCTTCTTATTTAGATACACTTTGTTTTTTTCTCTCACCTGATTGCTCTGGCAATGACTTCCAATTATTAATATATGTTGAATGGGAATGGTGAGAGAGGCCATTCTTGTCTTGTGCTGACTTTCATATGGAATGATTTCAGTTTTTGTCTATTCAGTATGATAATGGCTGTGGACTTATCATAAATGGCTCTTATTATTTTTAGAAATATTTTTCCAATACCTTGTTTGTTGAGAATTATTAACATGAATGGGTTGTTGACTTTTATTTAAAGCTTTTTCTTCATTTATTGAGATGATCATATGGTTTTTGACTTTAGTTCTGTTTATGATTTGCATATGTTGAATATGCAAATATTCAACCTTGAATCCCAGGGATAAAGCCCACTTGATAGTGGTGAATTAGCTTCTTGATGTGCTGCTGGATTCAGTTTGCTGATATTTTGCCGAAGATTTTTGCATCAATGTTCATCAAAGACATTGGCCTGGAGTTTCCTTTTTTTTGTTTTGTTTTGTCTCTGTCAGGTTTTGGTATCAGGATGATGCTGGCTTCCTAGAATGAGTTAGGAAGGAGTCCCTCCTCAATTTTTTGGAATAGTTTCAGTGGAAATGGTACCAGCTCTTTGTATATCTGGTAAAATTCAGCTGCGAATCTAACTGGCCCTGGGCTTTTACTGGTTGGTAGGCTATTTATCACTAATTCCATTTCAGAGCTCATTGTTTGTCTGTTCAGGGATTCAATTTCTTCTTGGTTCAGGCAGGGCACAGTGGCTCATGCCTATAATCCCAGCACTTTGGGAGAGTGAGGTTGATGGATCACTTGATGTCAGTTGTTCAAGACCCGCCTGGCCTACATGGTGAAACTCCATCTCTACAAAAAAATACAAAAATTATCCGGGCATGGTGGTGCATGCCTGTAGTCCAGCTACTTGGGAGGCTGAGGCAGGAGAATCACTTCAACCTGGGAGGCAGAGGTTGCAATGATTCAAGATCATGTCACTGCACTCCAGCCTGGGTTACTCTGTCTCAAAAAAAAATTCTTCCTGGTTCAGTCTTTGGAGGGCATATGTGTCCAGCAATTTATTCATTTCTTCTCGATTTTCTACTTCGTTTCCATAGAGGTGTTCATAGTATTCTCTGATGGCTATTTGCATTTCTGTGGGGTCAGTGGTAATATTCCCTTTGCCATTTCTAATTGTGTTTACTTAGATCTTCTCCCTTTTCTTCTTTATTAGGCTAGTTAGTGATCTATGTATTGCATTAATTTTTTTTAAAACACCTTCTGGATTCATTCAACTTTTCACAGATTTTTGTGTCTCAATCTCCTTCAATTTAGCTGTGATTTTGGTTATTATTTGTCCTCTGCTAGCTTGGGGTTGGTTTTCTCTTGTTTCTCTAGGTCTTTTAGTTGTGATGTTAGTTGGTTAATTTGAGATCTTTCTAATTTTTTGATGTGGGGGGTTAGTGTTATAAATTTTCCTCTTAACACTTCCTTAGCATGTCTCAAATATTCTGTTATGTTGTATCTTCTCATTAGTTTTAAAGAACTTCTCAATTTCTGCCTTAATTTTATGCTTTACCCAAAAGTCATTCAGAAACAAGTTGTTTTTCATGTAATTGTATGGTTTGAACAATTATCAGTCTTGAATTCTATTTTTATTGTGCTGTGGTCCAAGAGCAGTGGTTAGGCTTTGGGGTTTTTTTGCATTAGCTGAGAATAGTTTTATGTCCAAACATGTGGTTGATCTTAGAATATGTTCCATGTGAAAATTAAAATAATGTACATTTGTTGTTTTGGGTGGAGTGTTCCGTATATGTCTAGTAGGTACATTTGGTCCAGTGTTGAGTTTAGGTTTTGAATATCTTTATTAATATTCTCCCTCAATCTGTCTAATATTGTCACTGGGGTGTTGAAGTCTCCCACTATTATTGTTTGGGAGTCTATGTCTCTTTGAAGGTCTCTAAGACTTACTCTATGAATATGAGTGCTCCTGTGCTGGGTGCATAGAATTTGAAATAAGTCTTCTTGTTGAATTGAACCCTTTACCATGATGTAATACCCTTATTTATCTTTTGTGATCTTTGTTGGTTTAAAGTCTGTTTTATATGAAATTATGATTGCAACCCCTGCTTTTTTCTGTCTTCTATTTGCTTGGTACATTTTTCTCCATCCATTTATTTTGATACTATGGGTGTCATTGCATGTGAGATGGGTGTCTTGAAGACAGCATATCAATAGACACTTGGTTCTTTAACTAGCTTACTATGCTGTGTCTAATAATTGGGGCATTTAGCCCATTTACATTCAAGGTTATTATTGATACATGAGGATTTGATTCTGTCATCACAGAAAAAAAGGAACAAACAAAAAGAATTAAAAGGAACAAATAAAACCTCTGTGAAATATGGAATTATGTAAAAAGACTGAATCTATGACTCATTGGCATCCCTGAAAGAGATGGAGAAAATGGAAGTAACTTGGAAAACACATTTCAGAATTGCCATCCATAAGAACTTCTCCAACCTAACTAGAGAGGCCAACATTCAAGTTCAGAAAATGCAGATAAACCCTGAAAAATACTTTATGAAGAGATCATCCCCAAGACACATTACCGTCAGATTCTCCAAGGTCAGAATGAAATTTTAAAAGTTAAAGGCAGCTAGAGAGAAAGGTCAGGTCACTTACAAAGGGAAGCCCATGAGACTGACAGCAGACCTCTCAGCAAAAACTCTATAAGCCACAGGAGATTGCAGGGTTATATTCAACATTCTTAATGAAAAGAAAGTTCCAATCAAGAATTTCGTATCTGGCCAAGCTAAGCTTCATAAGCAAAGGAAAAATACCATCATACCATCCTTTTCAGACAAGCAAATGCTAAGAGAATTCCTGCCACCAGAGCTGCCTTACAAGAGCATCCCAAAGAGGCACTAAATATGGAAAGAAAAGACCATCACCAGCCACTACAAAAACACATGTAAGTATACAGACCAGTGACGTGGTAAAGCAACAGCACAAACAAGCCTACATAGTAGCCAGTGAACAACATGACAACAGGATCAAATCTACATATATCAACACTAAGCTTGAATGTAAATGAGCTAAATGCCCCAATAAAATGCACAAGTGGAAAATAGATAAAGAAGCAAGACCCAATGGTATATTATCGTTAAGAGACCCATCTCACATTCAATGACAGCCATAGGCTCAAAATAAAGGGATGGAGAAAAATTTATCAAGCAAATAGAAAACAAAAGAAACAGAGGTATCAATCCTAGTTTCAGACAAAACAGACTTTCAACCAGCAAACATCAAAAAAGACCAAAAAAAAAGCATTACATAATGGTAGCAGGTCCAATTCAATAAGAAGGCTTAACTATCCTAAATATATTTGCACCCAACACAAGAGCACACATATTTATAAAGGAAGTTCTAAGAAATTATTTGGCTCATCTTGACAGAGAGAAATATAGGATATTCATCATTTTACAGAAACTAATTACAAGAAATTGTATATGTACTGCCTTTTCTTTCCCCTTTTCCTCTCTCTTAAATAAGGCTATTAATTCTCTAGCTTAAAGAGACAGATTTGTTTCCTTGCCAAGTTGTATTGACTTGAGTGTTCTCATGAAGTGTAATTCACTATGCCAGAAAAAGACCATTTCTAACATTTGTTCCTAACATTTTTAAACAGTTAACCTGGTTGCAACAGATACGAGACAATTCTTGAACCTGACTCAATTCCATGCTATTATTGGGAGGAAACTGTGAAGATCAGTACAAGACAAGTTAGGAACAGTTACCTTCTTTAAATTACCAAGGAAGCCAAACACTGTGGCCATTCGTCTTCCACAGATTGATCCGAACACACATCTCTACATCATCAGGTCTCTGATACTTTCTTAGAGGAGCGGGACATTGTGCACTCTGTCATCACCACAAATCCAGACTTTTACAGTTGGATCCTTCTACTCACTGCTGCAAGCAGCATTGGCTTGATATCTATTGGTTCTCCTGCAAAAAGAGAAAATATTTTATGCATTTTTTTTTTTTTACAAATGAGGCCCTCCACCCTCCTGTTGGCTTTTTCCACACCTCTGCACCCACCAGGGAATTTGAATATTGTCCTCTAGGGAAGACCTTTCCTTATTAGTCAAAGATAAAAGCTCAGCTCCAACCTTGCCTTAAACAATCAAGACTCCTCCGTTTACCTTTACAAAATGAGGCTTCCTGCTCAGCAACTGGGGCTGCTAATGCTCTGGGTCCCCGATAAGGGAAGAAGAGAGATAAGGGAGGAGAATTTGGTGGGAGGGTGAGCCCTGGGTGTTCCCTTGTATCCCACGTATGTTCTGTCCACATGTCGGATGTGCTCGTCTTCTGCTCAGGCATGTCGTGTTTAGATCTGGGAGAGTGAGGAAGATTCCAAAAGGAACAAAGGCCTGTCCTCTGGGGAACGCTCGACACAGAAAGAAGAGGATGTTGGAGGAGAGTCCTGGAGATTTCTTCGTGTATTGCAACCCTCTGTTCTTAAAAAAAATTGGATTTTAGAGCTATAAACCAAATCACAATTACACAAAAATGATTTACACTGAAATAATTAACAAAAGTAAAATTATGAAACTGACACAATGATTGTATACAACCTTGCACTTCTCTCTCATTATTTCAAGATCCAGTGGGGATAGTTTGTTGACCCAGACTCCACTCTTTTTGCCTGTCACCCCTGGAGAGCCAGCCTCCATCTCCTGCAGGTCTAGTCAGAGCCTCCTGCATAGTGATGGATATACCTATTTGAATTGGTACTTACGGAAGGTGAGCCTTGGGGGATGCTCCACTACAGAAGCTCTGCAAAAACCCCCTGGGCTTTGCACTCTCCCAGTCAGCTCAAGTGTCCACAGGGGACGTAGAGTCTCTGGCTGATAGATTTCCAGAGGCCTGTGGAGCGAGCAGGTTACTCTTTACCTGCTCAACTGGCTCCTTCTGCAGGAGTCACTGGGGGCTAGGGAAAAATCCCTATGTGTGGTAGCCCCATGCAGGGTTCCCAGCTTCCTCTTCCTTCACCCCAACATCTGTATCCTCCCTCCCTCAACTCTCAATACCTTCTCTCTGAAGATCTGCTAGGAGTGCTCCAGTCTTCCTGTGTCCTGGCCCCTCCAAGGCAGATGCACCTTCTGGCTGTGTCTACTTAGCCTTCTTGGTTCTTGTTATGAGAAACTGTTGTATAACTAAGAGTGCTCAGATGTGCTGTGATCTTTCCTGAAGCTAAATTTTATTAACTCAGGTAGCTCATCAGAGGATGGGGAAATATTACTAGAATAACTGGAGTTCCCTTTTTACACTGAGATGGTCATGTTAATTAAGTGTTATCCAAAGAACTCAAGTTATAGAGGATGTAAAAGTCACAATTTCCTTCAGTCATAAAGGTAAACTCAGGTGTCCAAAATATAAATTGAAATAGAAAGTTGACAAATGATAAGAAAAGGTAATGGGAAATGATGTCATGTATTTTTTTAAGTGATAGAGTTAAAGAATTTTAGAGAATTTAAAGAATGAGTAGGACTGAATAAAATGCAAAAGGAAAGGGTAGGAAAAAAGGAGGCAGAATGGAAAAAAGTATTTTCAATGACATTGACCAGAAAGGCTTGGTTGGAAAATAGGATCTGTGGAAGGAAAAAGCAAGACAAAGGTACTACCTTCTATGTGGGAGGTTTTAAATAGGAGGAATCAAGGGTTTAATGTCAAGAAGGACCAAAGTTAAAAGTTGACTGCAGATAAAAGAGACCAGGAAAATAAGGAATCCAAATGGAAACTTTCCAGAGTCAAGGAGGTACATAGAAGAGAGAATGATCCAGGAGGGTGTAAAACTCACTGGACCCTTCTTTAGAGGGTAAACATAAATCTTAAACTGACTCAGTCATGTGATCTGCCCATTAAAACACACAGGTTCTTGTGACACAAAAATTCTTGGCAATGTCTGTAAGAGATCACAAAATTTTTCTTCAGTAATCTTTCACAAAAAGAGATCCAGAAAAAGCCAAATCTTTTAATTTTATCCTGTGCCCTTCAAACTCCCTCAGGAATACGTGAAGAGACGTGACCTCCTTGACAGACAAAGGAAGCATGCATGTTTGGAGCTGTGTGCAGAGAAAGCAGCTGCTGCAGGGAAGACCCACTGGCCTGAGGCCTGGGGAGGAGGTTTGTGTTCAAGGCTGAAGCACTGTGGGAGGAGCGCTGTAGAACTGCTGGCAGTAATAAACTGCCACATCTTCAGCCTGCAGGCTGCTGATGGTGAGAGTGAAATCTGACCCAGACCCACTGCCACTGTATCGGTCAGGGACCCCAGACACCCGGGTGGACACCCAGAGGATGATTTGTTTAGGAGCTTGTCCTGGTTTCTGCTGGTGCCAGGCTAAGTAGTTTCTGGAGCTTGATAAAAGACTCTGGCTGGACTTGCAGTTGATGGTGACCCTCTCACCCAGAGACAGCCAGGGAGTCTGGAGACTGGGTCATCACAATGTCCCCATAGGTCTCTGCAATCAGAAATGGAAAATAATTATACATAAACTTACACACACTTTACCTTATATACATTGAAATATGTCACTTAAAATGTGCTTTCTTACAGTATTACAAGTCAGCACATAAGTGGGTCCATATTGGAAATAGTCACTATTTCCCACTACATCTTAATTTTGTTTTCTACACAGATATTACTCTTAAAAGACTGCAGCATTTTTCAGTTTCTCACCAGAGACCCAGAGCAACAGGGACACGACAATTTGGGTCTGTGACACCATCTTGCTGCCGCTGCCTGCCTGATACATGTTGCAAAGGTCCCTTTTATAAAATCTGGGACTGTAGCCTGAAAGGGGCCTATCCAAAGCAGCCAGAGAGTACAGAAGCAAATTTCATGAGCAGTGGATTGTGAAAGTATCCAATGCAAATCAAAAGCCAAAAATATCATCATAGAACATGTGACTGTGTGACTAGAAAAGACACAAAACTCAACTTAGAAGCTCTAAGAATTCAGAAGCTCACTGCACATGACTAAATGATCTAATGAATAGACTTAGTTTTACATCAGAAATATATTTAAATGATTTGAGTTTCCAGAAACGATAGACTAATTTCCTCAGATCAATAATTCTGGTAAAATAATAAAACATGCTGGGGAAAAAACTAAAACAACAAAGAAAGGAAGGGAGGCGGCAAAGGGGTGAGACAGGAAGATAGCAAAGGGAGAGAATGGAAAAAGAGGAAAATAAAATGACAGCTTATGGACAAAATGTTTAAAATACATCTCACCTCGAAAGCCACTTTTACCCTGCAAGTATTTAAGAAAACTGCAAACACTTGAGATCTGGCTTCAGGGCTATGTCTGGGCCAGAGAACAGAAGACACTTATATGGCAAATCCTGTGGGACTTTAAGCTAGGGGCAAGAAGGGCTCTAATATCAAATAAGAGTGAACCAAAAAGAAACCAGAAACTTCTTTTACAACTGCTAGGAACTGAAAAGAGGGTTCCAGGTTAATTGGGAAATGGAGAAGAAAAACACAGATTCTTTGGAAAGTAGTGGCTGCAGACCAACACTTTCAAGGACTTTTACTCGAAGAATGCATGGCTGAGAAGGGTCTAGAACTCTCTAGTTTTGAAATTGCTTTAAGATAAGTTTTCTGGAGTGGCATCCAAATGAAAACCCCTCTGGAGGAGGGCATGACCATTCTAAGTTTTCAAGAAACTTTACGAGTAATTTTCAAAGGGCCAATAGCCCACGAAGTCAGAGATTCTTGACATACAAATGCAATAAGATGATTGGAGCATGAAGGAGAAACAACAGAAATAACAGAGCAAAGTCTGCCTAGACTTCATATTTGGGATCATGAAAGCATATTTAGGGAAATAAATAACAAATTTGACATTATGTGCAAAGTACAAGAAACAAACAAACAAAAAAAAACAGGAACACCATCAACCAACTGGATTTAATTAACATCTGAGGGTATTTTGTATCCAAAGAAACTTATTTGTCTGACCTTAAAACTTTAGCATTCAGGCCAAGTGCGATGGCTCACGCTTGTAATCCTAGTACTTTGGGAGGCCAAGGCGGACAGATCACCTGAGGTCAGGAGTTCGAGACCAGCCTGACAAACGTGGAGAAACCCTATCTCTACTAAAAATATAAAATTAGCCAGGCATGGTGGTGCATGCCTGCAATCCCAGCTACTCGGGAAGCTGAGGCAGGAGAGTCTCTTGAGCCCAGGAGGCGGAAGTTGCAGTGAGCCAAGATTGCGCCATCGCACTTCAGCCTAGGCAACAAGAGTGAAAGTCCATCTCAAAAAAAAAACTTTAGCACTCAGCCAGAAACATTATTGACCATCAAATATGAGCTTTAATTGCTCTATAACAATATGCTTTTCCTTTTTATATTTCCATAAATGGATAATTTAGGGAAATTTTTCTGATGTGGAATATTTACATACATTCTTATAACCTGTTTCCAATTTTACCTAGGTCTACTAGGATACCATAATATGAAAAACCCAAACAGTGTCTGGGTTGAGAAGGCTGGTAATTTCTGGGGGCAAGGATACTAAAAATGAGTAAGATCTGCCCAAGTAAGTTTCTAACAAGTTATCATATTCTCTAGATTTTTGTTAAATATTTTAATTTTACATTGTGACTGCTCCAATTAGCTCAAAACTCACTTCTTTTTATTTCATTTACTATTGTTCATTCGGATTCAGCAAATAGAGGGCAGCCTTGAGGATCCAGAAAAGTCAAGAAAGTTAACACACCTGCTACTCATGTTGTTTAGAGAGAGCATATGCACTCTGAGAGTAAACACATTCACAGAGCTTTTCCTGAGCTCTCTGTTAACTAGGGTATTTATCTGTGAATTTATGTTCTAGTGAGCTGCAAATCACAGGTATTTAGAGAAAGTGCCCAACCTCAATCAAAGGTGCCTCTGAACTCAGGATTCCACTCCAGCTAATCTGCAGATAAACTACTTCAGCTGGGTAGATCGATGTCAATTTTTATGCAATGACAAACTCTAATGTAGTTAATTAGAAAGAACGTCCTTTAGGAACCAGATAGGGAACAGGCTACTGAATGTCTCCAAGTTTGTCCAAATTAGTGTGGGAGTGAGGTATTTGGACTGACAAAGTCTATAACTCAAAATCTATAGGATGTGTAACCATATCACACTCTCCACCCCATGAACACTGACTCCAGGATAACCAATGTGAACATTTCCACCAACAAGTCAGTCTTCCCAGGTCATACAAATTGCACACTGGATTCCAGTTTTATTGAGCCCAAAATAACAGATCTGGCAACAAAGACAAAACTACAGTAAAACTAAACTGTATAAGTCCTTTATCACTCAGTTGACTATGGACAAGATTGGAGACCTGCAGAGGCCTGCTCACCTCTCCCCAATAATCTCGTGGAGGTTATGCCCCTTTGTCAACTTTTGTTATTTGTGTCCAGTGTAAAATAACCAGCTTTGGCAGCTGGACAGTTTTGTTGTCTGGGTCACAGCATGGTTTCTTAACAAATAAGAAACAGGTTTTTCTTTAAAAATAAGAGTACCTTAATGATCACCATTCTAACTGGCGTGAGACAGTATCTCAATGTAGTTTTGATTTGCATTTCTCTAATGACCAGTGATGATGATCATTTTTTCGTGTGTTTGTTGGCTTCATGTATGTCTTCTTTTGTCAAGTGTCTATTCATATCCTTCGCCCACTTTTGAATGGGCTTGTTTGTTTTTTTCTTGTAAATCTGTTTTAGTTCTTTGTAAATTCTGGATATCAGCCCTTTGTCAGATGGGTAGACTGCAAAAATTTTTTCGCATTCTGTTGGTTGCCAATTCACTCTAATGACTGTTTCTTTTGCTGTGCAGAAGCTGTGGAGTTTGATTAGGTCCCATTTGTCTATTTTGGCTTTTGTTGTCAATGCTTTTGGTGTTTTGGTCATGAAGTCCTTGCCTACACCTATGTCCTGAATGGTTTTGCCTAGATTTTCTTCTAGGGTTTCTATGGTGTTAGGTCTTATGTTTAAGTCTTTAATCCATCTGGAGTTAATTTTAGTGTAAGGCATCAGGAAGGGGTCCAGTTTCTGCTTTCTGCACATGACACACAAATGTTCATTGCAGCACTGTTTACAATAGCAAAGACCTGGAACCAACCCAAATGCCCATCGATGATAGACTGGACAGGGAAAATGTGGCACATATACACCATGGAATATTATGCAGCCATCAAAAACGATGAGTTCGTGTCCTTTGTAGGGACTTGGATGAACCTGGAAACCATCATTCTCAGCAAACTGACACAAGAGCAGAAAATCAAACACCGCATGTTCTCACTGATAGGTGGGTGTTGAACAGTGAGAACACATGGACACAGGGAGGGGAGCACTACACACTGGGGTCTGTTGGGGGGAAATAGGGGAGGGACAGCAAGGGGTGGGGAGCTGGGGAGAGATAGCATGGGGAGAAATACCAGATATAGGTGAAGGGGAGGAAGGCAGCAAATCACACTGCCATGTGTGTACCTATGCAACAATCTTGCATGGTCTTCACATACACCCCAAATCCTAAAATGCAATAAAAATAATAAAAATAAATAAAAATAAAATAAAGTAAAAAAAAATAAGAGTATCTTAACTTTCCATCTATAGATAATACAGAAAAATTTCAAAGCACTTGTCTAAGAAAAAATTCTATAACATTTACATTTTCTACACCTTTCAAGACAACAAATTATAAAATAAAACAATCAGAATTGGGGACTTGCAAGGGTACTATATTAATTTCATTTTAAAAAATAGGAATATTCTCTTAAATTCAAGTATGTAAAAATATTGTGCAAAAGCAGTATTTGTGTATCCTTGCATGTGAGATGTGTTTCCTGGATACAGCACACTGATGGGTTTTGGCTTTTTATCCAATTTGCCAGTCTGTGTCTTTTGATTGGGGCATTTAGCCCATTTACATTTAGGGTTAATATTGTTATGTGTAAATTTGATCCTGCCATTTTGATGCTAGCCGGCTGTTTTGCCCATTAGTTGATGCAGTTTCTTCATTGTGTTGATTCTCTTTACCATTTGGTATGTTTTTGAAGTGGCTGGTACTGGTTGTTCCTTTCTATGCTTAGTGCCTCTTTCAGGAGCTCTTGTAAAGCAGGCCTGGTGGTGATGAAATCTCTGAGTGCTTGCTTATTCATAAAGGATTTTATTTTTCCTTTGTTTATGAAGCTTAGTTTGGCTGGATATAAAGTTCTGGGTTGAAAGTTCTTTTCTTTAAGCATGTTGAATATTGGCCCCCACTCTCTTCTGGCTTGTAGGGTTTCTGCTGAGAGATCTGCTGTGAGTCTGATGGTCTTCCTTTTGTGGGTAACCCAATCTTTCTCTCTGGCTGCACTTAGTATTTTCTCCTTCATTTCAACCCTGGTGAATCTGACGATTATGTGCCTTGGGGTTGCTCTTCTTGAGAAATATCTTTGCGGTGTTCTCTGTGTTTCCTGGACTTGAATATTGGCCTGCCTTGCTAGGTTGGGGAAGTTTTCCTGGATAATATCCTAAAGAGTATTTTCCAGCTTGGATTCATTCTCTCCGTCACTTTCAGGTACACTTATCAAACGTAGATTAGGTCTTTTCACATAGCCCCATATTTCTTGAAGACTTTGTTCATTTCTTGCTACCCTTTTTTTTCTAATCTTGCTTTCTCATTTTATTTCATTGAATTGATCTCCGACCTCTGATAGCCTTTATTCTTCTTGGTCAATTCAGCTGTTGAAACTTGTGCATGCTTTGTGAAGTTCTTGTGTGGCACATATACACCATGGAATACTATGCAGCCATAAAAAACGATGAGTTCATGTCCTTTGTAGGGACATGGATGAGCCTGGAAACCATCATTCTCAGCAAACTGATGCAAGAACAGAAAATCAAACACCACATGTTCTCACTCATAGTTGGGTGTTAAACAATGAGAACACATGGACACAGGGAGGGGAACATCACACACTGGGGTCTGTCAGGGGGAAATAGGGGAGGGACAGCAGGGGATGGGGTTTTGGGGAGAGATAGCATGGGGAGAAATGCCAGATATAGGTGATGGGAAGGAAGGCAGCAAATCACACTGCCATGTGTGTACTTATGCAACAGTCTTGCATGTTATTCATATGTACCCCAAAACCTAAAATGCAATAAATATATATGTGTGTATATATATATATATATATATATATACCAAAAAAAAGCAGTATTTGTTTTGTTTTGTTTTGTCTGAGATGAAATTTCGCTTGTTGTTGCCCAGACTGGAATGCAGTGGCGTGATCTCGGCTCACTGCAACCTACAGCTCCCAGGTTCAAGCAATTCTCCTGCCTCAGCCTCCCCAGTAGTTGGGATTACAAGTGCCTGCCACCATGCCTGGCTAATTTTGTATTTTTAGTAGAGACGGGTTTTACCATGTTGGTAAGGCTGGTCTCAGACTCCTGACCTTAGGTGATCTGCCCACCTCAGCCTCCCAAAGTGCTTGGATTACAGGCATGAGCCACCACACCTGGCCAAAAGTTTTTTAAAGTCCATTTGAATTTACTACTATTCAATAGAATAGTAGGGAAAAAAAAAAAACTACAAAATTCTTACTCATTTTCCCCCAATACAAGTTTCCATATTGGATAGCGGATGCATAAATTTCCTAGAGCTGTTGTATCACAAACTTGGTGACTGAAAACAACACAAAGTTTTTCTTTCACATTTTTGGAGGCAAGAAGTCTGAAATTAATACCCTGACCAGTTCTGACCCAGCCTCCTCTTCCACAATGATGAGCTTCGATGACATCCCAAGGAAAGACATTGAAATAATTCATTCAATTCCTGTTTTTCTAACATACGAAATCCCCTTTTCAACTGTGAACTCTTGACTGTGGCTATCCAAACTACATGACAAGAAAGAAAAGATATGGGAAGAATTTTCTGTTATCAGTCACAGAAAATATATAAAATTATCCCTTGTTCATTCTGTCCTACTATCCTTAGAGAATTCTTCCCTTAAGAAATTTTTGATTAATCTGGTGTGGATTTGTATTGATAGATAGATAGATAGATAGATAGATAGATAGATAGATAGATAGACATACATACACACAGACACATATGTATAAATACATATATACACATACACACACACACACACAGAGAGAGAAAGAGAGAGAATAGGCTCTCCACCAGTTTATAACAACTAATTACAAGAAATTTTATATTCAATTCACTATCTGAGGCATGAAGTCCTTTCCTTTTTCACTCTACCTTAAACAAAGATATTAACTCTCTAGCTTAAAGAAGCAGATGTTTTATTCCCTGCCAAGTTTTTTTGACTTGAGCACTGTCATGAAGTTTAATTCACTATGTCTAGGAAAAGACCATTTCTAACACTTGTTCCTAACATTCTTAAACAGTTTACTTTGTAATAGCAGTTACCAGATAACTTTAAACTAGTTCAACTCCATGCTGTCATTAGGAATGCAACTGTGAAGATCAGTACTAGACAAGTTGGAAGCTGTTTCCATCTTTAGACTAGCTAGAAAGGAACCAAACAGGGTGCCCCTTCACCTCCCAGAGACTGACATGAACAAACATCTCTACATCGTCAGATCTGTGATGCTTTCTTAGAGGGGCAGGACCACGTGCACTGTGTCCTCACCATAAATCTCGACTTTTACAGTGGGATCCTTCTGCCCACTCCTGCAGGGGAATGGACTTAATCTCTGTGTGTTTTCTTCCAGAGAGAGAAAATACTTTGTCATTTTTATCAAACAAAGAGGACCTCCACCCTTCAGTTGGCTTTTTCCACACTGCTGCACCCACCAGGGAATTTGCATATTGTTCCCTAGGGAGAACCTTCCCTTGTGAGTCTGAGATAAAAGCTCAGCTCTAACCTTGCCTTGGCTGATTAGGACTCCTCAGTTCACCTCACAGTGAGGCTTGCTGCTCAGCTCCTGGGGCTGCTAATGCTCTGGGTCCCTGGTAAGGAAAGAAGGAGATGAGGGAGGAGAATGAGGTGGGACGGTGAGCTCCAGGGGCCCCACTGCTTCCCATGTGTGTTCTGTTCACACGTTAGATGTGCAAATCTTGTTCTCTAGGATGGGGCATGTGATATTTAGATGTGTGAACGTGAGGAAGATGCAAGAAGGAACAAGGACCTGTGCTCTGGGAAAGATTCTAACACAGAAAGAGGATGTAGGAGAACCCTGGAAGTTCCTGTATGTCTTGTAAATCTCTTCTCTTAAAAATTTCGGTATTTAGAGATATAAACCAAATCACAGTCACATAAAAATGACATAGCCTGAAATAATTAACAAAAGGAAAATTATGCAAATAACATAATATTTGTACATAATCTTGTACTTTTTTCTCAATATTTCAGGATCCAGTGGGGTTATTGTGATGACTCAGACTTCACCACCTCTGCCTGTCACCTTTGGAGAGCCGGCCTCCATCTTTTGCAGGTCTAGTTAGCACCTCCTGCATAGAGATGAATGCACCTATTTGAATTGGTACCTGCAGAAGCCAAGGAAGCCTTCACAGCTCCTGATCTATGAGGCTTCCAACCAGTTTTCTGGGGTTCCCGACAGGTTCAGTGGCAGTAGAACAGGCACAGACTTCACACTGAAAGTCAGCAGAGACAAGGCTAAGAATGTTGGGATTTATTTCTGCATCCAAGGTACACGATCTCCTCGCAGAATGATACAGCCTGAAACAGAACCTTCCCTGTTGGAGTGGCTCAGGTGTCCACATGTGCTGCGTGTCTGGGGAGCAGCTTAGCAGATTCTCTGAGTCTGTGTAAGGGAAATACGTCAAAGAACTCAGGGAAAGAGCTTGCCCCTGAGGGTTAGGGTGTACGCATGCCTCAGCTTCAACTCAACAACCACTCATTCAACCTCCTCAGCTGCAGCTGTTTTCACATGGCAGTACCAGGAGCAGAATGGAGCATTCAAGCAACCAGATGTGATAGAAGAGAAAGTCTAGTAAAAGCTCATGCTCTTCCTCCCTGCCTTGTGTACATTCATCAATTAAATTCATTCAGCCTAAGAGCCACATAATAGCAGCTTATTCATGACAATGCAAAACTAAGATGTTTTTGGTTGCTTTACTTGGTCAAGCAGGTGCGAGTATGCACGCAGCATGATAATATTTGGTGACGTAAGGCACTTTTTCTCTCCCACCTCCCACTTTCCACTCCCACTTCATTTACCCCACTTCTCCACTTTCACTTTCTTTTAGCGCAAGACCTTCTCCAGTGCAGGACAGGCCCAGGATTTCATACTACTGTCTTCAAGGGAGTAGCAAAGGAAAACTCTTTATGTTTTTTATTTTGGGCTGCTGGATAGAGTTTGTAAATCTCTTCAAAAACAAAGGCCTAGTGCCAAAGTGTCTTTGAACAGTCTTTGTCACAGACTGTTGAAATAAAAAGTTTTTTCAATTCCAAGCTGTATTTTGAAAGTAAAACACCAAGTCTGGAAGAATTAGAAATCATAAAAATATATGTTCAATACAAGATGATAGAAAAGCTAATATCCCTCCCCCCGCCACCCCCAAAGAAAAACTGCCTTTAGACATAGGCATAGGACAGTAAATAAGAACATGAGGGGCACACAGTAGAGGTCAGCTCTGGACTCAAGACCAAGCTCTGTGGCTCATAAGTTGGATGTTGATGCTGGTGGGTGGGGTTTAAGATGTAAATCCATGTGTAAGCTCTAATGTATTTCTTAGGAAGAATCACAGAGTTGAAGGAACCCCTTCCTGGCACTCAAGGCTGTGCCCTGAGCCACCGCAAGCTCATGAGAATGTGGAGCATCACCCAGGACTCTCAGTCTTTAGCGATTCAATGGTTGGTGAAGTTACAGTTCAAATGCACCTTGGGTCATACCACACATTCTTGTTTAACTCAGTAGGGTATGGATGAGCCCCCAAAGGTTTAATCTACCTGTATCATACACCTGAAAATGATCTGAGAGAGAATGTCATTCAGAAGAGACCATGCAGTCAAGAAGTAGATTATGTTGACCAAAGGCAGAGCTGGGGCTGGGAAGCTCAGTAGGAAATTCAGTGGTGGGAGCCAAGGGCCATGTCTAGGACATACGTAAGGGACAACTAGTGCAGCATTGGAGATGGGAAGCCCCATTAAAAAGTGAGAAGTTTCACTCTGCTTATCAGGCACACTCTCTCGGCTGCTTTCTCTCCCAAGACCGCAGCAAATATACTAAGGAGAAATCTAGCCTGCTGTTATGAGCTCAGCTCTTGTCCAGTCTATTAAGTCAGCTCCAAGCAACTGCCAGACTCAGCTGGATTCTCCTCCCAGTGGTGTTACTTCTGCCTGGCCCAACACAGAAACCCTGTCAACACTCAACTTCAGCAACTTTCGCTACAGAACTAAATGCGATAACGACAAGCTGGGTTGTGTTTAAAAGTGCAGAGTAAGAAATTTCCCTGTGCTGTGTAGGGGCTAAAAATGGACATCCAAAAGGACATTCAACTCCCAAAGCAACAACCAATGAAATACACATGTACATACATACATGTATATGTATATATGTGGAGAATGTCACACAGAAAATGAAATAAAATACAGGAATCCAATCAGATCCAGAGAATGCGGATACAGAATAACATACAAGAAAAGGACTAAAAGATTGATGGTTTTGACACTTGATGAAACCTGGGAATTCAGAGAAATGTATTCACTTATACTTGGATTTGCCCTCTCAGTGTTTCTCGTTATTGTATAGCTTCAGTTTTGTGTACAGTAGTTCCCCCTTATCCTCTTGGGATGTGTTTCAAGATACCCAGTGGACTCCTGAAACCTCAGATACTACCAAACCCTTTATACACAGTTTTCTCTGTATATACATACCTATGATAAAGTGTAATGTATAAATTAGGCATAGCAGGAGATTAATAACAATAATAAAATAGAGCAGTGTTAACAACATATTGTAATAAACGTTATGTGAATGTGGTTGGTCTCTCTCACTCTCAAAGTATCTTCTTGTATAGCACTCACCTGTTTTAGACTGTGGTTGACTACAGGTAACTGAAACCACAGAAAGGGAATTTTTGGATGAGGGGGGACTAATATACGTAGGAATACATATGATCATATACATATGATTTTATTTTTAAAACTATATTGTATTTAGGTATCTAATAGTATATTGTCTAAAACAATTTTTATTCCATTACATGGCTTTTAGTTTTATTATATATGTAATCTGACACACAAAAAAGCATAAAATTGCTTCTCTCAACCACACTTTTACTCAAAACTTAGAATCATCTGCAGTCCTTCGTTAAAAATGTTTTTTCTAGAAACTTCTAGAAAAATTAAAGAATTTTTTTCTAGAAACTACTACAGTCTAACAAAATAAATTCCATGGAAACAAAAAAAAAAAAAAAAAAAGAATGAATGAAATGAGAGCTCAGATTCACCTCACCTACAGAGGTCTATTTCTTCTTAGAATTTTAGGTCATCTAATCTTAGTGTCTTCTGTAGCTCTCCAATCTCATCATACACATGAATTTGTAGTTAACTTTTTGTTTATTTCTTTTTTTTATTTCTTCATACGAGCTGTGGTTTTGTTGTAAGTTTTTTTTTATTTCTGCATTTATAGCAATGGTTATGTTGGTCTTCTAACTGGAAGTTTTTCATTTTTTAATTAAATTCTAATGTAGAGGTTTCCACTTCTTTATTATATTATAAGGTATTAAGGTTTATGTCAATCAATAAATATATGTGACATAATCACACAAATGCAGAAAACTTTTAAAAACCAAAGAAATGATAGTGATCACGTCAGAGATTATAATATTAGATAATAAACATTATTTCCATATGCCAGTAATAAATGTCTAGAAATATATGTTTTAAATATACCCGATTTAAAATTTTCTCTTTTTTTTTTTTTTTTTTT